GGGGGCAATATGCTGACTCTCTGTAAACCGCTTAGAGAGGCCTGAAAGGCCTATGAAGCGGTATATAAGTCTACTGCTATTGCTATTGCTATTTCATAGCCCACGCGGAGGCGTTGAAATTCTTACGCAACCTAAGTTCCACCCACTTGTCTTCTGGTTTCAACTTATCAGCCACGTCCCCTGACACTACTGAAGAGGCATTGGCAAGGGTGGCTACTGGAGTGTCCACATTAGGCAATTGAAGTGCCTAGGAGAAGGCCTGCTCCATGTTGTAGAAGCAGCGGTTGTTGCTCCTAGGATAGGGAAAGGTGGAAGGCTGAGCCCATTGATTCTACATCACCTATAAAAAAGGGGGAGGAGCTCCTCCTCCTTGTAGGTCACTGTATTGGAAAACATGACTAAGTTAGGGTCTCTGGGTGGAAAAATGGCAGGCTCCCCTGTCCCGACCTTAGTGGTCTTCGTAGCTTTGTGTAACAAAGTCTTAAACATTGGGGGAGGCAAAGAGATTGGGAAAAGCCGGAGGATCCGGGAGGACAGTCTCTTCATCTTCTGAAAACTCCATGTCCTGGCGAGGGTCATCCCCTAACACAGGGCCCTCACTAACCACTGAGGGAGAAGGGGATCTCGCAGTTAGATGTCTAGGTTCAGAAGAGCTCCTGGCTTGATGGGAAACCTGGGGCATAGGCTCCCTTGAAGACTGTTGTTCCCTTAAGGAAACTGCAGTGGCAACCCCTTTTGAAATGGCTGAGGAAATAAGTCTCTTAATGCTCTCAGGGAGCAACTCCAGATCCTCAAACTCATCCTCAGAATGTCCTGGAGGAGGAAACTGCAGAGCTAGATTGTAGGGAGAGAGGAAATCACGAGATGAACCCTCTAATGGGTTCTTAACCACCTCCCTAGGCCCTGGAAGAGAGGCAGGAGGGGATGGGGAAATCTGCAGACAGGATTGCCTGAGTGCCCCAGTGGGAGAGATAGAAGGGGAAGAAGGGCTAAACCCCCTGTGAGGAGAGGCCGATTGATGAGATCCAGACCTTAAGGGATATCTGGATCTGATTGGAGAAGGGGGCTTATTGGTCTGGGCTTGTGTTCTGTCTTGGCAATCCTCTTCTCCAGGGACTTCTGACGCCGGCTTCCATCCCTCTGGGTTGCCCTGGAGGAGCACTGGGCTGCTTTGGACTTTGCTGCTGCCCTGGTTCTGGTCCCCACCATCTCTCTCTCCTGGGCCTCGTTGAGGGCACTCCCCTGGGCTTGTGAAGTGGCCAGCCTGCTATCTGCCATTAGCGCCACTCATGTGTCCTGGTAGTTCTTGTCTGCCCAAAGTCACCAGCCGGAGCAAGGGCCTTGCGGGAATTTGTCGGGCTGCAGAGGCTGAAGCTTGCTGGCTTGACCCAACCGCGATGCAAGCCGATGACTCAGGGCTAGAAAAAATGGCCGCCACCACATGCGCGCTTCCAAAATAAAATGTTTTTATCTCCGGTCACGGCTTGAATTAGCTAGCTGCGGCTCACTGTGCTCAAGCGCGGCTTCCTGATAGTAATTGAAGCCGCCCGCAGCCCAATCGGTGCCTCTAGCTCGCAGTCCTACCCACGGAACTGTTGCAACGGAGCCTGACACCCCCACGGTTCCAGGGACTAGTCAGAGCTCTCGGAGTTCATGAGGAGAGAGCAGAACACCAATTAGCTCTCCCTCAGCTTGCTGCAAGATAGAGGTCCCAGTCCCTGAAAGCTAGCAGCTCAATGTTTTAGGATTTAGAGTAGCCAATAGATCAAATCAAGAATCAAATAGCAAGAATTTACTCACTCTCTCTGGGAACCAAAAGCAGTGTTTAGATGAAAATACTGAGAGGACTGGGAGCCAACAGGGAAAGGAGGAGGTTAAAAGAGATTTCCCTTGCCCTTCTTGATGGGCTGCACCAGAAGCTGGCAATTTAGCATAGCAGACAGAGGGAAGTGATGCTTGGAACAACAAGTTTATTTCCTAGCTATTTCTTTTCTATTATTGTGATTCTTGACTTGCTTTGGATTGCCACCCTGCCTTGACTTGAATCATGCCTTATGAACTCTGGAGTCTTGTACTGTGGATTTAATTTTGCCTGGTGGGTTTATTTTGATTGGGAAACTCTCAAGTGCCTTGTAGACTCATTGGCCATTGCTCTGTGTACTAGCATTAGTCTGCTTGTGGCTGGACTGTGAAGGGAGTTGCTGGGTAATATTAATAAACCACAAAAAACACAGTTATTTGTGTGCGCATATGTGCGTACACATATTTAGACATGCTACATCTGAAAATTTTATCTCTAAGGCAAAACACTTTAGAATTCAGGACAAAGATCATTTTTTTCATAGTAAGCTCTTCAAATATGCCATTGTTTTCCTTTCTGTGCCATTTCAAGTGCATATGCCAAAAAAATGCTCATCTAAAGTTTAATCCATTATTGGCCATCAGAATCTAGATAATGATGATTGTTATTTAGTGAGAATCATAAATTAAACCACAGAGACATAGATAAAGTCTTCTCCATTCTCATCCTTGAAAGTAATGTCTCTAGCATTTAGTTACTGTATTTATCAGAAAGATACATTTTTCCTGTAGATTAAATGAAGGAAAATCCTACAGTCTCTGAAAATACAGTAATATAGAAAGTGAAGAATTACTTCAAGGAAAATAGATATTTCATCTCTGGCGTTCTCCACTTGCAATGGATAAGCATCTACAATGGAAAGCCTGCCCATGCGGATAACAAAAATCAGAGTAAGTTCTTCACTGCAAACATTCTCTAACCTGGCAAAGAGCAAGAGACTAGCAAAATAACTGAAACAGAGTGGAAATCATAAGCATACCTATTCCAATGTAAGAATCCTTGAATTCAATGAGCCTTGGATTCACAAACTGAATGCAAAAGTATGTAGAGCACAGTTATTTTTTGTAAAAAGAATGACCACTGGCTTACCTGAAGGGTCCTTTTCTGTATGCTGTGAGGAGAGTCTAAGCATGGGTTAAATTCTGCCTGACTGTCCTGGACTGAATTGAAAGTTCTTTAGCCATGGCTCCTTTTCGGCTCCTCAGATTTTGTCAATGAAGGCACTTTTCGAAGGTGGTTCCATTGAGTTCCATTAGTTCAAGTCAAATAGATTGCATGTCAAATTCGGAAACGAAAATTACAAATCCACATCATGTAAGTTCAAATCAGATACAAATGGAAGCTGGGAGAAAGACCCTAGGGTGGGGTTGACTCTCCTCGTAGCATACAGAAAAGGACCCTTCAGGTAAACCAATGGTCATTTTCCTGTACGCTGATTGGAGAGTCCAAGCATGGGACATACCCAAGCTAAATGTCACTAGGGCGGGAAGAATGTTTCGGTGGTCTCTCCAGAGGCATGGACACCCTGAAGGACCCATGTCCCAAACGCTGCTTCCACTGATGCAAACTTGTCCAATTTGTAGGCTCTAACAAATTGGGATGGTGAAGCCCACATAGCCGCTCTGCAGATCTCTTCCATGAGCGCTTGGGTTGCCCAGGCTGCTGTGGACGCGGCGCTTCTTGTAGAGTGGGATGTGATGCGGCGTGGTACTTGTTTAGACTGGAACTGGTAGGCAAGGGTGATGCAAGGACGCAACCATCGGCTGATGGTGGCAGAGGTGACTTTGCAACCCATGGTAGCAGGTTGAAAGGAAACTAAAAGTGATTCCAATCGTCTTAACACCGCAGTGCGCTTGATGTATTTGCAAATGGTTCGACGCACACCAAGTTTGTGCCATCTGAGCTCTGTAGGATGTCTTGGGTGAGGACAAAAGTCCAGAAGAATGACTTCCTGGCTCCGAAGAAGCCAAGAGTTGACCTTTGGGAGAAACGAAGGATCTAAGCGGAGAACGACACTGTCTGAATGTATGACACACAAGTCCTCTCTGACTGACACGGCGCCATCTCTGAAATCCTACGGGCCGAGGTGATCGCGGTCAGAAATACTTAAAAGTTATGTGCTTCAGGTCACAGGTTCAAATGGGCTCAAATGGACTCGACTAGAGCCCGGAGTAACACATTCAACTCACAGGTCGGATATCGATGAACGACCAGGGGCCGCAAGTTGGAGGCTCCCTTCAGGAAGCTGTTAACCTTGGAATGACATGCTGGGGATAGATGGTTGGTGGGAGCGAAGACAGTAGATGCCACTTGATGACAGAGCATGTTTACTGCCAACCCCTGGTCCAATCCATCTTGCAAAAAGTCCAAAATTTGCGGTATAGAGGTGAAGTTGAATTTATCTGCCTAGGTACGGATCATTTTGCGAATGCTGCCCAGGTGGCCTCATAAATTCTGGTAGTCGATGGTCGTCGTTCAGCCTGGATGGTTTGGATGACCTTGGAGTAGAGCCTGTCCCTCTCTAGGAGGTCCCTTTCAAGTGCCAGATGGCTAACTGCAACAATTGGGGCTCCGGATATGAT